AATGCAGCATTTGTGGTTTGTTTACATTCACCATTTTGGGTTAGTTCTTTATAAGCAACACTGTGGTCAGAAAGGCAAACTTTATGAGAGGGTGGAATAAGTGTCAGCTCCACACTCGCCCCCGTCGTAGTCTCAGCTCTGTGTTTCACTTCAGCCAGGAGTACCTACAGCTTACAATAAATTCAGGAAACAGGTCACAATAGGTCACAGTACCCTTTCTATGGAGCCAAATCCAGTTTTGATCATTTGAAAAAAAAAAAAAAAATTAAACTTAGTTGATGCCACGCCCCCCCATGCCAGCTCAAGGACATAAGTCTTAAACTGAAACAATATGATCTGAAAGTGAGAAATTCAAAACCGGAAAAAAAAGATTTGAAACTCTATTTTGTGTTCTCGAGATATTGTAGCGGATGGAGCAGGAGATGGACCTAAATGCACGACTGGCAGAAGTTTAATGATGATCAAAGAGTCAATTATAGGATGAATGGTACTGGTACAGGAAGTCTCTGGTGTGGACATCGTGTTTGGCGAGGTGTGGCTTCAGCAGGAACGTGACAGAAAAGACACAGGCAGGACGGACAAGCAGGCAAACCAACCGGCTGGCTGAGACGAGCAGAGACACGGGGTGTAAGCAAGCTGACCACAGCACAGATACAAAGCACAAAGGAGGTCTGTTAATAAATATACTTTAGTCAGAATATCCAACCATCAACTCGGGCCTGATTATTCAAACATTCCATCAAGCTTGTTCATATCATTATTGCATAAAGCTGAACTAAGGGAGTTTCCAGAACACTAGCGAGGGAGAGGCTGTAGCTGTCAGTGTGCATCGCTTTGTAAGCGCTTAACATGGACGTACCTGGTGTTATAATTGTGTGCAGTCAGGAAGAGCCACATTCCTGTGATGTTTCTTGCTTAGCATCACGCTCAATACACACAGACCCCCGGAGGCCCTGAGACTTGATAAGCTCATTAACGTTGTGCAATTAAATTAATCCATGGGGTTGTGTGTGCAGCGTTGAGCTATAGATGTAGCCGCAATGTGAAATATCACCCTTTTTCACTGTTGCTATGGTGTCGTAGGAGGTGTTTCTGCCATGGTATAATCACCTGTGTAATTTCAGACCACCTGAGTGTGACTGTGAGAGACGATGGTGTAGAGATGTTCACATTGAATCACAAACACCGGATGCATGCAGCTGCAGTGAGGAGGAGAAAGAGGCAGTTTGGAGATTTGGAAAGCTGAGTTCCTTTGTGGTCTCTTGACCTTTATCTCCTTGAGTGCCCGCACCGCGTTGCCATGGCAACTAAACTGGGCGCTGCCAGCTTGGGTGAGGGTTGTAATGCCTCATCCTCAGATACATCACTGAGTCTCTCTGTATTTTTAAGACACAGTTGTTACGTTATCAGGACAGTCCGAAAACGTGAACCTCAGCCTCACTAAGACAAAAGAAGAGACACAGTTTGAGGACGGGTGGATGTTGGGGAGAGACATTAAAAGCCTCACTGAGAATAGAGATGATGGTTGTGATACACTGCTACACAAACACAGAGCTGCTGGCACGCTGTAATCCCTCACAGATTAGCACAGTACATTACACAGCTCATTGTACATGAATCTAGTACAGTCAACACTGATGATTTGACCCAACTCCCACCACTTGTTTAAATGGATACACATGTACTTGTGAGTATATGATGATAACTTCCATACAGATATTTTTAAACACAATCTCACAACAGTTTATCTCAACCACCGCAGCTGTTTTTCCTGATCTTTCAGTAAATGACATTTTGCTAACTGTACCCTTATTATTGTGTAATAATTGCGTGGCAAGTGTAGACGGGCGTGGCTCAGACAAACGCAGACTCTGTCCAGGAGGGACGCTCCGCCATCTGCCACAGGAGTCCCCCCCCCCCCTCCCAGCAGGCTTGTGCATAAGTGTCTGTGCGCTCCTTCCAGGCCAATTATGAGTACAGCTGCTGTTGTACAGTACACTGTCGGACACTGTTGTCTCTGTTGTTTGGGAGTTTTTAACAGCCAACCTGTTTGCCAAGGCCATGTAGGGATGACAACTTGATGTGATGTGATAACAAGTGGTATTAAGTGCATGTTTATTTTAGTGTGTGATGAGTCAGGCAGCTGATCTGTTCAACAAACCCTGACACGCCTTCTTATCTGAGGTCCCCTCGGACCAGGAATCAAATGTTAATGGAGGAAATGTATGATGTGTGAATATGATGTACACATATGATGTCAGATGCTGATTTCATCCATGATTCACCCTGAATTGAGCTGGATATGGAGAGAGTGCAAACCTCCACCGAGGTCCAACAGTCTCCTTGTGAAGCCACATTTAAATTCAGTACATCTGGATCTTTATTTGGATGGCACGCACTCACACACAAATAAGTCCCATAAACATGTCCGATTTTAAATCAAGTTCCATGAATTGTGCTTTTGAGAAATCAACTAAAATGTTGAAAAGTGTCAAAGAAAGCGGAAAAACAAAAGAATCGTCCTTTTGATCCGGATACACACCAGGTTATTTTCGGACCCAAGATTTGTGGTGATCCGTCTAGTAGTTTTTGCGTAATTCTGCTAACTAATATACAAACAAACAACCTGAAATAAAAACATAACCTCCTGGGTGGAGTTAAGTATTTAAGTCATACCTGTTTTGAATTGAGGACTGACTGCCTCTGTTTGTGCTGGGACAGCTGTGGGAACTGCTTACAACAAGTGCCCTGACCACAAGCAGAGGTGACGCAGCCAATCAATGTGTTTATTTTGACTGTGCAGGTGACTGAACTGTGGGTTTCACTGAAACTGGGTGATAACTAGCATGAGGGCACCCATGAGTCAAGTCATAATGAAAGAGAGAGACGACAAGGAGCAGCGAGCACAGCACTTAAACAAAGAATGCTGCTAGAATGTGAGCAGGTGCTTTGACTCAGATGACAGGAATCCAACTTATGCCTCTGCTCCGCATCACAGTCAAACCTGCATCCAGCCTATAAAACATGCTGCCTCTCTATGTTGACAAACAGACAAGGTGTGCCAATGCCGAGGAACAAAAGAATCAACAACTTCCTTTACGTTGAGTGTGGTTATTTAAATGCCTGGCTGTTTTCTTCACTCCGAGTCGACGGGGACATTATTGATGAGTTATTTCTGAGTGTTGCAGAGGTGCAATAGACTAGAGGTCAGGTTATGCCAGGTTCTGCAGGGCTCAGAGGGAACGAGCAGACAGATCAGAGGCAGACGGCTTTTTAAAATGTTAGTCATGCCGCTGTTCCATTTTCATGAGCTGCGTTGCAATTCCCAATGAGCCGCCTGCCAGTTTCACAGCAACTGCCGAGCACGGCAACATTGCATCTGGACTGCAAGCACTTCTACGATAGAGATGTTTCATTGCTTTTTCTTTCAAAAAAATGAAATAACATACGAGAGAGAGAGACTGTGAACTTTCACCAAGCTGGTGTTCCCAAGAGGATCGGGATTCATTTGATGATACGTTTTGCTTCTCGTTTACTGATGTTTGAAATTGTAAGCTAGCCGAAAAGGAATTTCTTTAACCCTAATTTTACCACCCTGTGATCTTCTTCATCTTCTGATGTTTATGATGTGTTAAAAAGTTTATGATATTTCGGGTGCATGCATCCCAGCAACACTGAGCACACACAAGTCATAATTTTGGGATGAGCAGATATTCAGCTGTTCGTGTGTGTCTCCTGTTGTACCTTTGGCCTAGCATCAGGTGTCATGTACTTCATTAAGGTATGAGAGTCATGCACAGTGTGTGAGTTTCCTGTTGGTTTACAGTGACAGAGTGAGCTTCAAGTACTGCATGGTTTCTCACAGTGGAGCAATGTTGTTGCTGTTACCAGGTAAAAAGTACACACATTGGTTACTCAAGTAGAGATACAGATACTTGTGGTAAAAATGACTCAAGTAAAAGAATGAGAACTGATTTGACCTCTTTAATCAAATAAAAGTATAAAAGTACAGGCTCTGAAATGTATTCAAAGTAGGAAAGTAAAATGTTCCCCTGTGAGAGCCATTTCTACAGGCTGTATCATGCAAAGCAAACTGAGACAAAGATAAAAAAACATTAAACTGGAAACAGGGTTAAAGCAAGACAAGAATTGTGAGCGTTGAAAATCTGTTAAATCTGAAATATGTACGATGTATTCAATGAAGTTTTCTTAATTTAAATAAGGCCAGGGATGGGAAATCAGTTCAGTTGCTCTGCCTAGTTGTCAATGTCAACGTTATCAGCAATGTTGGCTGATTCGTCACTTTTTTCCATGTTGTTGAGCCGCCCTTCTTCTGCAGTTTAGTCTCCCTCTGTCTGTTTCAGTTTTGCTTGTATGTCGAACGTGCGGAATCGTCTTTTCTGGATTACTTTCCCATTCATTTGGGAAATCTGTCTTGATGTTGGGAAGGTGTCGCTCAATAATGCAAAAAGATAATTCCACTCAAATGCATTAAAAGGAAATGAATGAAAGTACAGATATCTTAAAAATCTACTTAAGTACAGTAACAAAGTACTTGTACTTTGTCACTTCCCACCTCATCTGCAGTGACTGTGCAGGAGCTGTATCTCAGAGCTGTGTAGATGAGACATCATTTTTCTAAGGTAATGGTGGAGAAAGTGTATTGTTTGTTTTAGCAGACAGTGTGATTTAATAGCAGAAATGCTTTTATACTCAGTTAGATATATAACTATGTGAAATCTTTGCAGCCGTTTGCTAAAGTTTAGCACTGCCCGGCAGCCAAGAGAGCACTTATCAGGGATGTTATATTGTTCTTCAGGGATGTTAAGTGAATGAGCCCCTGAGTGCTGTCAAGCCATCACATCCAACAATAATCACAAGCCACAAAAGCCGATCATAAACCCAGAATTCTATTCACTATAAGTCAAAGACAGAGATTATGGTTAGTATTAAGTCAAAAGAAACCACATTTATGTTGTTCCCTCTCCTCCTGTGTTCAGGTGTTCTGCTCGACATCCAGCGGCACTACAACGTATCTGACAGCGGAATGGGCTTGTTGCAAACAGGTAAGACCTTTAATACCATAATTACACCTGTGAAAATGGTTAGCTGAACAGCTTAACACATTTTCCGCATTATGAAGGTAATTATTGTGTAACGGATGGTTCTGTGTTTCAAAACTGAAACGCAAGAGATATTGATGGTTCAGTTTGCTGCTCATTATGGAGTTAATAATCAATGAACTAATGACTTATACTCGTACCTCTGATCATTCTTCTCTTCCTCTGTGATAACATGCCACAGTTGAAGGATTTAAAACCATTTTATTCCCTGGTTCTAAATCCGACCTGATTTTTCTAGATGACTCATTATGAAGGGCAACCTGTTTAGCAAATAAAGTTTATTTAAAGGTGTTGGGGAGTAGAACTGCATGTATGAAACATGTTTTATAAATCCTTTTGTGTGTGGGAAGTTGCTTGAGTCAACATCAGTTGGGTGTGGGTACTAAAATAATTTAAAAAATATTTTTAACCGTCTATTGTGAGTCAGACAATGTTATTAGAGTGTAAAGCTAAATCAACTATGGCAACTAGTTAAGAAATTGTTTTGACCTTTAGAGAATTTATTTTCACCCTCATCTGAAATGCTGCAGTCATTTGAAGTACAGGGTTGGTTAGTTGAATAACTCAACACTGCAGCACGGACACATGCTCAGTTTGCAGAAATCTGGAAATATATTTTAATTGAAGCTGGTTAGATTTCTTTAACAACAAATCATCACAGGCAGATTCAAGCGAGGGTGTTTTGGTTGCAGTGTTTCCTCACAGCAGCAGTGGTGACAGGGCAGGTCATCGGAAAGCAAAACAAAGTCAGCAGCCAGACGAGCCGTTTTTCCTCAGAGCCGGCCTCCATGTACCCTTAGTGTCTAGAGCACTTCTGGCTCCAGGGCAGGGTTTCCTGCTCCACCATGGACATCGGTGAATTCACCTTTTAGAGAGAGATACCTTTGCAAAGCCCTCTCATTGGAGGACAGGACCCAGTCTTGTCCACGCGTGCCCTCAGACTCATTCAAAGTGCACACACAAAGTGCCATTGAAGGGCAGGCAGGCAGTTGTGAGCGTGTGGGTGAAAGAATACAGCCCAGTGTTTGCTCCGTCACTCAATGTTTCTGCTGGGCTAAGTTTAGGTGCGCTGAATGGTGTGTTGAGGACAAAAATATCTGCCAGGTGAAAGAAATCAGTGTTGTGATTCCTGTTGGCTTCTCAGTGAATAAGCCATTTCATCATTTCCACCCAGTTTCACTCAAACAGAGAATCTTAAGTTTCTACCTGCTGAACTCTGTCCTCTATTCTTAGGCCTGATTTTTTTGTTCTCCAGCCAAAATACTCAAACTGACGGATTTATTTCATATCCTGACGTTTCTGATATGCGGAATAAAACACAAGACCTCGACTCAGGCGACAACTAAGGGGGAGAAAAGAGCCATTCAGGGTTTTTCAACCCACTTCGTGCTTGCATTTGTGGAAACACACTATTCCAGGTGATGTCTGCTTGGTATAAAATCTTCACACGAAACAGGAAGCTGCAAAGGGTGTTTGACTTTTAATTCTGTTTGTCTTGGCTCATTATTTAGGCTACACACTCCTCCACACTGGCGCAGGCTCACACACCCTCTTCAGCACACACAGAAGGTTGGTTGAGCGGCATGTGGAGCTGATTTGCCCTCTGCACCGTCTGCGTTTGCAGGTCTACAAGAAGCACTCAGTCTGGCTAAAAGCAGCGGCGCTTTGTGTTCCGTTCGTCTGGCCTGTCCTGGCTTGTCAGGGCTCAGACTCCGCTTGGCCCCTGATCCCCCGGCGACCTCTCTCTCTCTCTCTCACACCGGCCTGAGGAATGCTGGGTGTCCCAGGCCGAGAGCTGTGAGAGCGGGTGGGCGCAGACGGGGAGGCTGGATGTGAAGTCGAGGTTAGGAGGTTGATGTAATCAGGGCGCTGGAAGGGAGAGTGTCAGTGTGTGCGTGTACATGTTTACAGTAAGCACCTCTACCACCCGCTTCCTTCTCTGGAGGGAACAATCCCTGCTTCTGTGAGCACCTGCAGGCCAGGCCGGCTCTGCCTTCTCTCCGCTCCCTCTGTCCAGGCAGCTTTTGTGCACCTGGGAATGCAAACTGCCCACGTATGTGTTTTACAGCCAGTGGGCGTTGTGTGTGCTGGTGCGTACTCTCTCTTCCTCTGCTGCCAGGTCACCCTCACACTTTTATAAATAAAAAGATACACTGACCGCACACTGCAGGGTCCAAGTCGCAGAATAAACACAGGTCTGAGTCAGAATCCCTGTGGTGAGTTCTGATCTGGTTCAGTTTAAGAGAAAAGTAAAGTTTTGAGCTTTTTCTTTGGCTCTTGATCAGAACTACTGGAATGAAGAATTTCCCATATCTAAACATTACTCATAAGCTGTTTTCTTTTGGGAAATACTCGTCTCACTAAGCACAAGAGAGGCCCTCGTGACCTACTTCAGTATTTGTACTTTGATTGCTGCACTGCAAAAAATTGACATTTGATCGTGTTTTATGTTTGATTTGGGATTTTGAAACTAATTTCAGAAAGATTTCTAAAAGAAAATGTCGATTGCCTCTCTATATTGTCCAAACTCGAATTGCACTCAGTGGAGCACTTACCTCCGCCAAGTCCCCTCACATTCACTTAGGCTGCTCCAGCTTTCACACACTCATAGACATGACTTCTCCTAAACATGCCAGATTTTTTCCATTGAGATTGTTCTTTGGGGAAATGGTGAAAATGTTGCAAAATCTTTTAAAGAAAGAGCAAAAACAAATTCCTGGATCCATCCCCGGATCAGGACTGAAATTTAATTTTAAGTTCTTCCCTGACCCATACCAGATTCTTCACAATGTTTCGTGGTATAATATTTAATAGATTCATATAAATGTAATTGTTTTTTAGGTTAAAATGTATCACATTTGGTACTTTTGTCCCTCAAAATGTAATAGAATAAACCTCTTATTCCAGGAATTAGCTTGTTCTATTTCACATACCCAATGTCAGACTTTGATTCCTAGCCTATAATGAAGAAATAATCCCATGTCATATTAATTATTGTTTTAGAATGTCATTAAATTATCAATGATCTTATTGATGGTGAAACTGAAGCCTTAAACAGTCACTAAGGTAAAATCAGAAGAGAAGAATTAGAAACACTAGAAAAGCCTTGAGACTGGAAAATGTATGAACAATTAGGAAACTGTGCCGTGGGTAGACTGGATTCATTAAGCATTATAGATATAATAAGAAACTCTCATGAGAAGGAATGACGTGGTAAGACACTAGGTTCTTTCCATCCAGTAAACTGGTGTTTACATGTGAATGGACAACACATGGAAAACACCCTGTGGTGAGCTCAGCCTCCGCAGCACCAGCTATTTCTGTTATTTGGCAACAATGACCATTTTTAAAAGCAGCTTACACAACATTAATTGACGTGAGGTATGTGCTCATTTCTGCAGTGCGTGAGTGTGCGTGAGTGTGAGTCACGTGCACCATTGCTGCCCGAGGAGCTGAGGTCTCAGCTGTCTGAGTAAGGGGATGATGTGTTGGTAGCTGTCAGTCAGGTTAGGGAAGAGGCGCGCTGGCTAAGCCTGCAGCTCTCCGGGTCCGTCCATTAGCGGGTGGAGATGCTCTCACCTGCGCTCAGCAGACCTGTCAGAGCACCGGGACTCAACTCTCCCACTGAAAACGGCCCCGAGGCAGCCTCCTTGTGAAGTGAGTGACACTCACACACAGCTGCGAACAGGACCAGAGGGGGCATGCAGGGCAGGAGAGGTTAATGGAGGAGAGGAAGAGGAGAGGGGCTTCACCTGGATGGTGTTACATTTAGTTGAGGGGAGTTTTGAGACCTTTTGTTAACCACACTGAGAAATCTGAGAGAAGGCTTTCTCCTCCTTACATGTTGTGGTTATTCTATTCAAGTGCTCTGAGGCAAGACAGGAAAAAATATCTTTAATGGGCTGAATAATCTGCTATGATGAAAGATGGCATGGTAATTATCCCCCCACTGGTAGAACATGGAAGCAGAGGTATTGGGGTCAGTCAGGCTGGATGAGGCTACAGCGGGGGGGCGGCGGCTTAATAAGGAGCCGGCGCTCAAAACAGCCCACAGACTGTCTGTGCCCTGTTCTGTGTGTGGCTGCCCACCTTGTCTGAAACGCGACACCGACACACACACACACACACCAACTGACATTGAACCAGTCTTAACACGGTGTCAGTCAGCCAGTATGTGAGCTTCGAAGAATGAGGCCACAGGTGTTGTGTGAAGCGTACAGCTTGAGCTCCGCTAACACATCAGACGTATACATGTACTGCACACACACACAAAAAGCTTTAGGCCCAAACCGCAAGACGTTAGCATTGCACACTGAGGGTTTGTCCTGCGCTGTGGTGTGGCTGTGGCCGTCTGGAAGCTGTTATTTACTGGACCCGAGGTGTGGCCAAGTGTGTAGGTTTATGGTCAGTGTCAGTCAAAAATTCCTCCAGTTGGATGAAGGCCTCTCTGATTTCCTTTTTCTCAGTCTGAAGTTATCGGTGCTTGATCAGCTGTTTTGGCCGCTCACAGCTGCTCCTATTCTGTCTCCAGCCGTCATTGCCATCCCTTAGTACGTCCCCTCTTGCTCCCTCTCTCTCTCTATCAGCAGTTTGGCAGCTGCTGTTGCCTCGTCGTTACTCCCACTAGCACCTCATAGGATTTAGAGGAGATGAAGGCATGATGGGAAATGGAGGGAGAGGAAGGAGCCACCTGTGGCGTCAACCCTCCGGTCACGGATGGCAGCAAGGTTTAATCTTCTCCACTATTGATTCCCAAAGCTAAATAATGACATTGCATTGGTGTTCAGCAGCCCCTCTCCTGCTGGGACAGGAATAGAACAATGACCTGATGATGCATCAACAGCTCGGTGTGTGTGTGTGTGTGTGTGTGTGTGTGTGTGTGTGTGTGTGTGTGTGTGTGTGTGTGTGTGTGTCTGTGTCTGTGTCTGTGTCTCCGTCCCTGG